TGAGCACAATCGACCAAAACCAAATGCTGCTGGTTCAATTCCCAAATCTGATCATCAAGAGCGACACATTGTGGAACATCAACCTGAACGTGCCGGCTCGATAGATGAAAGGCATTGTGACGGAATACGAGCCGTTTCAATGAGACAGCAAACTCATTTTGAATCCCAAGATCACAAAAGTGGAAGTGACAGTCGAGGGCGTTCCCAACCAGCTGTTCAGCCAAGGCATTGCAAGCTCACCAGCAATGGGATGAGATAAGAAAACTACCGGCCATCAAGTGGCACTCGCATGAAGTGAACAATGTCGTCAAAGAACTGGGTTTGCCCTACGTGACGATTGGTGATAACCTTGATAAACATTACGCGCTGTTGCTGGACATGCGATCCACGAATGGTGGCAGGCTGCACAACAGCAGGTGACGCATCGTCAACGGCAGCGAGGGGTTCAACATTCGAAATCGCCAAGAAGGTGCAAACTTCAGTCGGCAAGTTACATTTAGATTTGTACGTGATTAAGGACTCGCAACTCAATATAGATAATGGAAGATTCGTGCAAGCCATTTATTGATTTACCTCGCGATCCGCATCGTGTGCATGCTGGAAGGTTACTATCATGACGTGTTCGACCACATCATCATTCTCTGCCCCACTTTACGGGTGAACAAGATGTACACGGAGAGACCTTGGGTGATGACGGACCCGGACGTGCACAAAATCGATCCTGGAATTCGTCTGCAGGACTGGTTCGCTCTTACCATGACAAGCTTAAAGGAGAATCTACGCTGTTCATTCTGCACGACTGCAGCGCCAACAAGGCCTTCTCAGGCCGGCACAGGAAAAACAGCGTTTGGGTTCTGACGCAGAAATTCAACTCGGTGATGAAAGATTTACGGGAACAGACGCGATAGGTCGCCCTGTTTCACTGCAAGGACAGGGATTCGTTTGAGGACTGCTTGCAAGAAAACAACTAGATCCTGATCAAACAAGACCGAGAACGAGTGAAGAAACAGCTTGCCGAAACGAAACACGCCAAACTCCTGTTGAAAACAGACCAACACGTTTCGTATAAAGTCTGCTATCTTTAGCAAAATTCAAGCAAATTATAGGATAACTCGAGCAAAATGATGTTCGAAACTATCGTGTGAAAATTGACTTTCATCTCGCTGTGTTTCACGTACATCGGATTTGATTTTATTAGACTTAAAAATCGTTTGTTACATTATAGGATGGAGTGTGACGAACTGCTAAAAAAATTTGGATGACGATAATAATAAAAACGGCAAGCAGGAGAGACTGGTGGCACTTGCGGTTGGTGGCAAAGCCAAACAATACTTGGGTGGGGGCGACCACAAAATGCGAGCTAAAGAAATCGACAAGCTCTATGGGAGATATGAAGCCAGATTTGGCGCCGAAATGAAGAAAACCATAGGGTCTGTCATAACGCAGGTCTACACCGGCGTAGCATCGTACTTCCTTCCCATTCTGCCGGAACGTCGACTTTACCAGTGGGAAGATCTCGAAAAAGATCCGTTCATCGACCACTCTTTGAGCGCTGTCAGCTGCGAGCTGCAACATATACAGCATGTTTTTGGCTCCGGTGACCGCGGCATTAATTGCGGCAAAGAATTGCCAAGAAGAAAAAAATAATAATGATAATAACTTTAAACAACATGGATGCGCAACAGGATGAGGAAACGCCAATGGAGGAAGCAATGAAGACGACAACACCGATACAACTAGTCACCAACAAGAATCCTAAAAAAGTCGCCCCCGGTTGAAAAGGTGGGTATAGCAAGCACCACAAATATAATAATAATAAAACCCATTATACTCTGTTGATTGTTGCCACCATGGCAACAGGATTAAGCGTGGTCGTTGTTATGCTGCTATATAATAACAAGCAACCACCACCACAGCAACAGCAGACGACGCAATTAGAAATAAATCCGCATGTTATGTTATAATTTCTGTTAAAAAAACTATATGTATATTTTATATACACACGATGCTGTCCGAAGGAAAAACCTTTTGTCAACGATGCATATCACACCACCGTGGTCGCCGGACTAACCGTAGGATACCCTCGCTTAACGAGAATGGCTCTCAAACAGCGATGATCAAACTCGATTTCAACGTGCAGGACATGGGCATTCTCGTCATGGACTTCGGGATGGCAATGGCCACCAAGGACATTCTCGTGAAACAAGGAATTATACCAGAAAATATTTTGAAGTAATATTAACAAACACATAATATAAAAAGAATGGCTATGATCGCTATGATGGTCGGTGGTGCATTAATCAATGCCCTCGCATTTTCCGGCAGCAATTATCTCTTCTCCAAATTACGAACGTCGAATGCAGCTGAAGTGGAAGTAGAACGTAAACGTCACGATTTGGCCGTGGAGAAACTGCAAGTCGCGCAAGCCGAGGAAGCCGAGTTCATCAACTACCAACTCTCGCGTGAAAACCATGCTGTTCAAACGTTCAAGAACGTCGACGATGCTATGCGAGAATACTACCTGCTCACCGGCACACGACTCGAACTTCTTGGCGACGAACCCACCCTCGCACAGTTTTAGACACCTTCCCCGGAACAGAAAGACCAGGAACTGATTTTCATGGCGCTCTGTCTAGCGGCGACCGTGTTGATTGCCAAACAATAAGACTAAAAATATAAGTGTATATACATAAAGATGGAAGACGTGCACCGTATAACTGCAAGTATGTGCTGCTAGGAAAAACCGAAACCTGCGGCAGGAAATGCACCATCCAATATTGCGGCATACAGATAATGTCCATACAAAAGAGTTTGTGAATTAAATGTGCGCCGGCAGGTAGACTTGCCAGATGTTTGTTTTTTTAAACCAAGCTTTAGCAACGTCTTCTGAGACTCGAGCGGCTTTGGCGAGTTTAGGGATGGCATCATCACCTTTCCAGTACCCGTATGAGCTGTAATAAATATTCTCCATTATGTATGTATTGCGTGCGTTTTAATTATTTAATATGTGCGTGTGTCCGTACGAGTAAGTGGTGTTTGAGACATTTCGTGTCCATGTGAGACAGCGACGTCTTGTTGATTCTCAGTTCGTACAACCTGTGTCCGTCGCTTCCCAGCATGTTCATCTGGTGTTTGAACATTTCTTTCTTGAACAGGGCTTCCTTGAATCTGGCGTGCTTGATGTGTTTTTTCACCACATGTTTTTTCACGCCTTTCGCCTTTCTGATTTTGTGGTTGTCTGATTTCTTGATGGAATACATCTTGGGTCTCAAGCTGACGTAGCCGGTGATTGACGTGCCAGCGCATTCGTCCTTCATCTTACGTGAGTTGCATGATGAATACAGCAGGACCATCAATTTCAGCAGCTATCGGATGTGCTTTGGAAATAATATTGTGTATTCGTTACTCCAGTTTGTAAAAACATATTCAAGAGGATTATTTAACGGGACATATCAATCAGAGTATTGAGGTATGTTTAACTTCCTTTGTTCTCAAATCAAATATTTATATTAATGAGAATTAATTAAATTTGTGTGAACTCAAACCCCTAAGTCAAAACATTACGAAGACGAAAAAGAAACTCTTTCTTCGATTGCAAGTATGATAAGGAGACGACCATTCATTTTGCCTTTTAGACATGCTTACAATATTGACGGAACAAATATCACGGGAACAGTATTAGAAACATCCCTGACTTAGTCATAAAACCATATTTTTAAAAAAAAACTAGTTTCTGATTTAATTGATAGGGTTTTAAAACAAATTGAAATTATCGTGAATGTGGAGATTTTCTTTGTTTTCTCCACACATCTACCAACACAGATTCTTGTTCTTCCATCACATATAGAACATTTCTTGCAATAACGGTTACTGCTATGTTGTTAGGACTAGTTCCATGATATCTGGGGACGGATACTAGAACATATTTATGTTATTACATATCTATGTATTATTGTTTGGGCGTATGTTGCTGAACGCCACACTCAGCTATATTCAGGCTGTATGGAGCCGGTCTGCAAGTAATCGAGTCTGGACAAGAAAATCCACTGACCACCAGCATTGGCATGTCAATGTATTAAGTTAATTCAGTGTGTTACGAAGAATGCTTGGTTTCAGTAAGATACAAGACCAATATGCATTAACTATGTGTAGGTGATTTCGACGTCAGTTGCTTCGGAGTTTCTGTCATGTTAGTTTAATTCAAAGTCAGAGTCATTGTGATAGGGCGTCCATTGCCAAAAGGCATGATCCAGAGAATGATTCTACTATCTGACACAAGACTAAAGCTTCCAGGGCATGGTGTAACCTTTGATCTGACACATAGAGGCATTGGCGATCTAGATGCATAATGTTTATTTCTTATACAGGAAATAACAAACTTAATACTCTTTTGATCATGTCATATCATTCATAAAAAGACATGTAGTCATTTATCCCAAGTGGTACCTAAGCATTACAAGCTTCAATGGTCTGGTGATAAGACATTTGCCAGTACACACCAGACAGACTGGCTGACCACACGAAACACAGTAGGCTAGTGTATTTGTCTTTTGCATCACCCATATACAAATACTGTAGCCCCAAAAGCAGTTTTGTAAGGTTGGGATCTAAACTCCAATAAACCAGTGAGACGTTACACCACGAAAAGTACTCAGAGATAAAAGTTACAGCGACAGTTACTGAAGTACTTGCTACATCTTTCTCCATGTCTCCCAATGGCACAGACTGAGAGGCATAATGTGTTATACGAGGAAGTGTATACTTACTTGTGATCAGTTTGGATGTAGGTAACGTCATTATTCACACTGATGTAATTTGGAGGGTTACGATGAGTTGATTTGTGGGGTTATATATTTTAGATACTTATGTTTATCACACACAGTTTGGTACTGTTATAGACAGTAACATGATTATGTTACACATATCGTCTAATAACAAAAACGTGCCTTACAACATGATATAAATTGACATTGCACATCAACGTACAATCCTGTATATACCTGTGCAGTCTGGTCCTGCCCATCCTGGTTGGCAGCCTTCATTTGAACACGTTCCTGTGTCAGAATTACAGGAGTCCCCTGTGTTGTGACAGTGACGAGAGTTGCACTCCATGCTACAGCTGGCTCCATAACGACCAGACGGACACGCTGAAATACACGTACAGATGAGTGACGTCACTTTTCTCTTATATCACTTGTATATTCAAATGTGAACTGTTTACACTGCTCCAACTGCAGTCAGGCCATTGCATGATCAATGCAGCAGGACCATCAATTTCAGCAGCTATCGGATGTGCTTTGGAAATAATATTGTGTATTCGTTACTCCAGTTTGTAAAAACATATTCATGAGGATTATTTAACGGGACATATCAATCAGAGTATTGGGGTATGTTTAACTTCCTTTGTTCTCAAATCAAATATTTATATTAATGAGAATTAATTAAATTTGTGTGAACTCAAACCCCTAAGTCAAAAAATTACGAAGACGAAAAAGAAACTCTTTCTTCGATTGCAAGTACGATAAGGACAGGACCATTCATTTTGCTTTTTAGCTATTTAGACATGCTTACAATATTGATGGAACAAATATCACGGGAACAGTATTACAAACATCCCTGACTCAGTCATAAAACCACATTTTACAAAAAGAACAACTAGTTTCTGATTTTATTGATAGGGTTTTAAAACAAATTGAAATTATCGTGTATGGGGAGAATTTATTGTTTTTTCCGCACATCTACCAACACAGATTCCTGTTTTTCCAACAGCATGAGCATATCAATGTATTAAGTTAAGTCAGTGTGTTGCCAGGAATGCTTGATTTCAGTAAGATACAAGACCAATATGCACTAACTATGTGTAAGTAATTTCGACGTTTTTGTCACGTTAGTTTAATTAAAAGTCAGAGTCAGCGTGATAGGGCTTCCATTGCCAAAGGCATGGTTCAGAATGTGATTCTACTATCTGACACAAGACTAAAGCTTCCAGTGCATGGCGTAGCCTTTGATCTGACACATATTGGCATTGGCGATCTAGATGCATAGTGTTTATTTCTTATACAGGAAATAACAAACTTACTAGTCTTTTGATCATATCATGTGTGACACTTAAAGATGGAAAGATCCGTCTACTTGACTACAGCAGGCAGAGCTGTCAGAAATCGGCATCTTTGCCAACAATTTCCCTGTGCTCTGTTTTCGTGTAATTTGCTCATGAAATCAACCACTGCTTTGTGTGATGTTGATTATTGTCTGGCTACCGATTTCTTGCCTGTCATTTTATACTTACACCACCACACCTGTACTTCAACAAAGTCCAACAAAGGACCACCACCCTCATTTTCAGTCTCTGTGTAGACAGTCAGGTAGCGCCAGGTAGAGGGACAGGTGACATTCAGGACATCAGGGATGTCTGTACCGTCAGGACGTCCACTAACTGAGTGACATAGATCTCCTTCTGTGGGGTCAGATGAATTTGTCCCAGAGGTGAAGAGATTAAGGCCATTACGTCGGTACTTATCTGAACACGAAACGTCAGTGTCATGTTATCATGTTGTATACAAAATTTTATGCATTGGGTTTTTGGTACTGTAAATACCTCAGTGTTTATTGACTGTGTTTATTGACCAAAAACAAAATCCCTATAAATATTAAATGCATACACACACATACACACGCACGAGCGAGCACATACACTAACATATATATGTCGTGCGTAATTTACGGAATTGCCCAATCCGCGAATTACGCAAGACATTTGCGAAATCTCCAAGAATGGGCGACACTCTGCCAAACTCCTGTCATTACACAATAAGTAGTGTTAATTCCCATGGGTTGAGCAATTAATTAATGTGCGTAATCCCACAGATTGAGCAAGCCGGGTTTGTGTAGTTAGAAACCTAGTTGAGCTTGTGTTGACAATGAATAGTGTTTCATAGTTTGTCTGCCAGTAGTCGACTGACAGTTGCTCTGAGATGGCGGACAAAATTAAGCTTGAACGTTTAATCAACAGTGATACATTGTCTGTATTTTCAAGAAGTGAATATAAACAGGTGTTATGGTGTGACGAACTAAACAAAGACAGTATGATATACTTTTGTGTATGTTACAGAGATCAGGTAGTATGTGTTCAAGCCACTGTCATCCAAGGAATCGAAAATGTTTGAATAAATAGAGGTTCTAAATAGGGTATTATAAATATTATAATAAATTTCGTATCATCGTGTTTTAATATGTCTCTCCTATTGCAATAAAAACATATAAGATGATCACAATATGTTTTGCTCGTACCAAGGGATTACGTAGTGAGGCGTGCCCAATCCGCAGATTAAGCAAGCCATACCCAGTCGCGGATGAAATAGCAAAAACACTGGAAACAGTAGACGGGTTTCGTTTGCGACAGTTATGTGAGATGAAACAACAACTATAACGTAAAAATATACACAGTCAGCATTACAGAAAAAATATCACAGGGCTGTCAATTCTGTGGACGGTGCTGACACCGTTTTGATGGCAACGAGCATGGGATTAGGCGCGGCAGGTGTCAGGTTGTTATCCGCTATCGTGGCCACACCTGTGGTGTTAGGCATCGAAATAACAGCCAGAGTGGCAGTGTTGGCGGAATTGGCCCTTAAGTATGTATACCGTAAACTGCAACGTAAAGCATTGAAACAGGACGGAATTAGAATTCTAGCCGAAGCGAAGCTAAACACCATAGACGATCACATTTCCATCGTGCTCACCGACTCAGAGGAAGAGTTTCGTTTGGTGATCTCAGAAATCGCCAAGTACCACAGAATTAAGCAAGAGATTCGAACTCAGACTCGTCAAAGCACTTCCATCAGCGAAGACGAGAAAAAAAAGTTCATAGAACAAGGGAGGCAAGAGGCCTGGCAAGACTTCATTATGAAAACCAAACAAATCATAGAAGGAGATTCACAATAAACTGTTTCGCAGACATCAACATAACGTAGCCAGCCAGCCAGTCGGCTGTACAAGCCGAGCCGAGCCGACACACACACACACACACGCACTAGCACTAGCAAACACGCACACGCACGCTCGCACGCACGCACACGCACATACACACACAAACACACACACACTGCGACTAGCTCACAGCGGTATGATTTAGATTCAAGAGGCCCTCGTCTCGCTACTTTATAACAAGTACGGGAATACGTTGGATAGCTAGCCTTTCGCCAGACAGACCCCATGCTCGCTCAAAAGTCAATATTTCAGAAACTATTTTACGGAATTTCGTGAAATTTTGCATGCACATCTGCGAGTAATATACACAATAGCGGTTAGGGATTGGGGACTTAACATGGCTTAACTTGGAAAATTAAGCCTTTGGAAGGACCTGGTCCCGTTTTGCTATCGTGTATACTACTTCTAAATTAACAATTATTAAAATTGTTTGGAATAGATTCAACGTCATTTGTATATTTTCAAATTTTAATGATTACTCCCTTTCGTTTCGCCATCATCCCTTCCGGTGATGATGGCGCGACGTGGCACAACATGGCAACATGACGCAGAGATGTTTTCGTTGCTATAAATTGATATTCAGCTCGTAGAGATCCACTCTTCAGGTGAATACTATTTTTTTATGTGCAGGTTTTGATGATATATGTGTTTTATATTGCAAGCGTTTTAAAATACTCAAAATTTGATGGAAATGCCATAATGTCAATTTTCTTAAAGCGAGTCTATTTTACATGTAGGGGTGTTGTGCATTTGAGTGATATTTGCGGTTTTATATGTGCGTTTTACTTACGTTCCTGTCTGGGATTATCATCTGAACGTTATTGCATTTATAAAGACATGTTTTGTTCGATGAATGCGAAAATGTAGCAATATTCGAGAAAGTTATATTCTCGATAACCTGTCAATCCTTATGCAGGAAGCTTCTATTTTGCGACACTGGTTGTTTACATAGTCTGTCACTGTACCTAGTGCAAAGCATCACGTTCAGATAATGCATGCATCCATCCATCCATCCATCTATCCATCCATCCATCCATCCATCCAATTTTTTGCTAATACTGATAGATTTTTAATTTTATATTCATTGACACGCTTTATTACTTAGCTTGGATATGCGTGTGTATGGTATTTAGAGAAGAGGGTTTATTATAGCCAGAGTTTGAAATCTGTATTGAAGCAGTTCGTTTAATAATTTGATAATCATTAAAGTAATGATGTCTTAGAAGATTACCATATTTACATTGTAACTAAGCAATGTTTCTTTTCTATTCTTTTCAGAATATTGTTTGGTGCTTTGCTTATGGCATTTAACATATCAGAAGATAAATCGAGCTTCAGATGATTACTTGTTGTTTGCACCAAAGTTTCTGAAGATATATTTCAAGAGTTCAAGAGCGTCGCCCTATAGACAACTTGGTGTTGGAAACAAGAGAGATTCACGATGGCAACGAAAGTCGAAGTGCACGAGTCTCCTAAAGAAAATACTATGGAGATAGAACAACAAGGGGATCATGATGCTGAACCAGAGAAAAAAGTTAAACAGAAGAGATAGGTTCTCAGAACTAAGCTTATGACAGCTATAAACAGGTTGACTGATAGTATGAAGAAACATGAACATAATAAGAAGAAAATTAAAACCTATTTCCCGTGACTTTGATAGAGTGATGGATATCAATTCAAATATGTATGAGATCATTCATTCGCAGAAGAGCAGACTTGATAAGTGGGAGTCAGAAGTCTCCAAATGACTACTACAAGGTAGTCGAGAAGGTAGAGTCATACAGAGATAGTGGACAGTCAGAAGTAACGCGAAAAAGAAGCAAAGAAGATCTGATTGAGACCAGCTCCGATTCTTCCGATGCATTAGGCTGTGATGATACTAACAAAACATTTGGTAGTGACTGAGAGAAAAATGGTGCCAATGGTCAAAAAGAGAAGCAAAGTGGTGATACTGATGACTTGTCTTCAGTAACCAACGATGTGAAAGGGAAACCTGGTAAGGATGGAAGAACTGTGCATGCCCCAGGCAATGTTGGTGACTGGATTGACGACCTGGTTGAGTTTAAAGAGATTGAGTTTGAAGTTTCTACTGAGTCTTTTTTATGGCAGATGTCATCTTCAAATTAGAGGCTGCACGAGACATTCCACCATTTAAGCTGAGTACATTCAATGGGGATTCATTCACTTATGTAGATTTCATAGAGTCCTTCAAGATCCACATTCATGAGAAGGGAAGCCTTAAGGGCGATCAGAGGATGATTCAGCTGAAGGCACATCTTGCAGGTGAAGCAAAGTGTGCTATTGATGCGTTAGGCGCTTCGGGCACTATGTATGCAACTGCATTGAAGTTACTGAAGAGACAGTTTGGCCAGAGAAGTGTGATAGCACGTGCATTTATAAACAGCCTGTGCAAAGTGGAAAAGCTGAACCCTCATGACAGGAAGAATCTGTGGACTTTGTTAATTGACATTGTTGGGTGTCTGGCGACCCTCAAGAGACTCAACTACATGTCAGATGTGAACAGCATCGAATCCCTCTGGGCGATCATTGGTAGGCTTCCCAAAAACCTCATTGGACCATGGCGATCAATTGCGGCTGAGATTCGCGACTACGGTAGAAATCCTACTCTACAGGATATCAGTGACTACATCCAGAAGAGAGTGCGGGCTGACTGCGATCCAGACTTTGGGGATGTCATCCATGCATCAGCAGCTCCATTTGACAAGAGAGAGAAAAATAGAGACAAGAGAGATGGTGTTTATTCTGCACAGAGGGCAGTGACATGCTACTTTTGCAGAGATTTTCACAGAATTAGTGTCTGAGTTCAAATGTGTTCCTGTTTCCGAGAGAGTTGACTTTGTCAGAGACAATAGTATTGTACGTTTAGTTAAGGGCCATGGGGCCATACATTGCAGATCTAAACGGCAACGTGATGTAAAGGGTCTGTTAGAACACACCATACCTTGTTGCATGTTGACACCTGAACTGCCAGTGGTGCTATGCCTGATGTAGCAAATGGTTGTCATGTCCCTAGTATCATGCCTGTAATCAGAGCTAAGGTTAGATCACCCAGTGGTCGCTTCAGAGAGGGTGACATTTTGATTGATAGTGGTGCAGGCACTACTTTGATACGCCAGGATGTTGCTATGAGTTTGGGTTTGCAGGGTTAACGTGAGAGCATTGAGATCAGTGTAGTTGGGGAACAAAGGGTTAGACAAGTGACAGTAGAAATGTGAAGTTCTTTGTCAGTGGAATTGGTGGTTCAGAGGAATATGAGTTGGATGCTCATAAGCTTGATAGAGTGAGTGAGTGAGTTAAAATTTAACGTCACATCGGCAATATTTCAGCCATATTGTGACGAGAACAATTAATTGTATGCATAGTAAGCAATGGTAAACTGTAAAAACCTGTCAACGAAGGACAGTAATATAACTAGATTATCACAGATTCGAATTTAAAACTAGTAATTAAATCTAAAACAGTTTAACTATAGATGACAATACAAGGTAAAAGCAGGCTATATATTGCCAACAGCTGAAGGTAGAGCGCCATACTAGGGGCCATGGGGACTTACAGTACATTTGATTCCTGCATGGACCCTAGCAGGATCTACACCATCCCCTCAGCTATTAGCAATGTTAGATAATCTAGCCATAAATTAAACGAACATATATTCTACGATTAAAATAGTAGTAGGTTTAAATTTACTTTGAATGTTTTGGGACTTACGTACCCTCACGGGAGGACAATAATTTTACACTACTTCAACCCCATTTGAGGGTACAGCCACTAACAATCTCAGTTACGAATTCAAACCACCAATAATAAAATATGTATCTATTTACAAATCACTTAACAAATCTAATTCTTTTAAAAATGCAATAATTAAATGAGAACTAACATAAGTAAAACGATCCTTCATAGAGTTTACTTTGAAATAGTTATCCCTTGTGATGGAATACTCAATGCAGACAAGCAAGACATGCTTGACTGTGATTCTTCCATCACAAGGGATGCAAAACGGAGGATCTTCGCCTTTAAGCAAATATTCATGTGTATACTTTGTATGGCCAATGCGACATCGCCGCATAACGACCTCTTCAAATCTGGACTGACAACCCAAGTAGGTGTAACCAATGTAGGGTTTTATTGCATGTAATTTATTAATACCTACTTGGGTGTCCCACTTCTTCTGCATCAGATCACGGATGCAGCTTCTAATGCTAGCTTTGTAATCAGAATATGGGATAAGAAGTGGTGTCACAGACTTGTTTAGTGCTGCCTTGGCAGTAAGATCAGCCATTGTGTTCCCAGAAATGCACGAGTGGGTGGGTAACCAACAGAAGACGATGTTGCATTGGCCAGTAGCAAGTTCATTATATAATTCGATTATTTCAATTAAAAGTTGATGTTTGCAAGGGAGATTTTTAATAGCCTGAAGGCATGAAAGACAGTCCGAAAATATTATATATTGTTTATGTTTGGGATGTCTTTGAATATATTTAAGAGCTGTTAAGATGGCGTTTACTTCTGCTGTAAATATAGAGCTGGTATCAGGTATTCTAGAAGATATTGTTCTGGATCCAATGACAGTGGCACA